CCCCCCCTTTCCCCCTCCCCTTTCATCGGCATCGGGGGCGCATCTCACACACGCACGCGCACGCACACACTCACAAGCACAGAGGGAGAGATCAAGCCACGGGCGTGAGGAGGGGACGGTGTGCTCGGAGGGACCTTTGTGAGGAGGACCGCGTTACGCCATGCTTGGGGCGTTTCCCCTTGGTTTCCTTGGCGGATTGACAGGACAGACAGGCACGCGCGCCAGAGCCGTGGCTGACGACGGCGGCGGCGGCGCGCCTTGGTCGTCAAGGAACAAAACGCCACAGGCATAGGTTACAGGCGCGCCCAGGGGGGTTAGCCCGTGCCTGGGCGACGTACGAGCCTAAGATGTGATGCCACGGACGGGCGATTCATCTGCACCGCGCGGAGCAAGTGCCGTTGAGGGCTAGCACTGGCGTTTTCTACGGAACATGCACCTACATACTGCAAAACGTGCTCCATACTGAACACACATATGTGACCGTTTAGAAACACGCCCGGCGGCACCGGCATTGGGGCGTACTGTAGATGGACCAGGGGGTGGAGGCGGCAAGGGAAGTCTATCGTCGGACTTAACCCCTGGACCCGAATGCCGTCCTGTACCTTGGCTGGCTGCGACTCTGCGTTGACGTCTCCCGACGATCACCAAGGTTGCATCGGGCCCGGGCACCCAGGCCAAGGGGCAAAACGCGAAGCACCGACGACAGTCCCCTTTGCCATCTCAAGCCACATCTCCGTCATGAAAGGGATTCGCCATGCAGCCCGGGTCCCCGGCCGCATCCTGCCGTGAGCTTGGCGTCGGCCATTGGGCGATGGTCGGCCGGTGTAGGGTAACGGCATCGGCGGCGGGATGACGATGCTGGGGCCGTCACGATACTACTGCCGCTGCCGCATGGCATGGAATGGGCACGGCACAACCGACTTTCTGCTAGGGCAGCAGCACAGCATGGCAGACAGACAAGGAGCAGATGCTAACTGCCTGTAGGCCACCAGCCATGTGGACCACTGGGGCCAAAGAAACGGTATGACGACGACGGCGGCGACGGGGGCCGGTGCTCGAAGCCGCAAGCGGGAGGTGCGCGTCAATGGCCGCAGAAGGATTCCGGCTTTGTCGCCCCGCCTCGGCCGTTGCGACTCTATGGCCTGGCGCGCGTTTGCACGCCGCACAGCATGCCTCTGCCAGCGGCGGGTGGCCGCTCGCCGGCACGCGCGCGCGATGTGACGACAGCGCGGCCGACGACATGCGCGCAAGGATTCAGCAACCAGAGAGTCGCGATGTGTGCATTCCAGTTCTCGCCGGAACACCGATCGACCCCACCAACGGGGAATGACGCGACTGTGGCCATGCGTCCTGCTGGAGTGATTCCCGCGCAGAGCATACTCGAACGACAATTTCCACACAAGTTCCCCATGCCCTCCACCGCTGCTGCCTGCCTGCATGTATCAGGTTCACCAAGATCCACGAAATAGACGTGCGCAGAGGCCAGATTCGGCCCACGCCCCCCCAGCCCTACGCAAGGTAGAAAAGCGGGAAGCCGGCCCGGTGTAAATCAATGGAGACACTCGGCCGGAGGGCGGCAAGGGGCGAGGAAGGGAGGGAGGGCAAGGGAAAGGAAAGAAAAAAGCTTGTCGAGCGGCACGAAGAGCCGGCACAGACAGTACGAAGAACAAGGAGAAGAAAAACGGGAAGTTCTTCAGCGGGCTGCGTACTCGGAATAGAATAGTTTCGTGGGGGTCATCTTCACCGGCCGTGCTGTCGTCGACGACACACCCCGGCGGCGGACAACGACGAACAAGGAGAAACTCGAGTCATTCAAGCCGCCCGTCAGTCCAGCCCTCGGTCGAACAGACTGCACCGAGACCACTGAAAAAAAGTTGTGCGCGACTGACGGGACAGGGTGCCCCACCCCGCTCTGTCGGCCGAGAAGGAGTCTGGCACGCTACGGCCGACCTGCCGCAGAAAACGGGGCCGCGGCGTGGCGGGAGCGGGCACGGCGCAGAGCGCGACGACGGCCGGTGGGATCCTCTTGAATGGGGGTGGGTGGTGGGAGGGTCGCGGTTGCGGGAGAGACGAGAACGGTAAGAAACCGAGAGAGGGCTTCCACGGGTCGATCGAGAAGGCAAGGCCCGCGTGCCAAAGCCCACAGTTGATGAGCGGCAGTCGCCTATCCAGGTCTAGGCCGCCCTGCGTTTAAGCTTTGTGGCCGGGCGGCTGTGGTTTTCTTACGTAGTTGAGGCTGGGAGATATGGGGCCGTCCAAGAGTTTCTGGAGAGCTTCCTGCGAAGACGACTGGCGGAAAATTGACCAGGGACCGAGAACAAGAGGCTGGGCGGTGTCTGAGTCGCGCGAGGTCGCGACCGCCTAGCTGTGGTAGGCGGTGGGCGGGTATTAGATGAAAGAGTGGGAACGTGGAATCGGAATCCCCAATTCAGCGGCTGGGTGCCTAGTTCCTATCAGACAAGGACCAGCACCCACCGGGCAAGTTCCTGCAAGCAAGTCAATGTGTCGCCGCGTTGCAGTACGGTACCGCGCGGCGCTGGGGACCGGTACTATAGCACGGGTACCCCTTCGACGTCGAGCACCAGCCCGGACTTTCGGGGCAATTGCAAAGCCAAAAAGCTAGGCGCAATAGGGCAGCCCGCTCGGAGGGCTCCGGTGCTGGGACCGGCTTTTACGGTCGGCTCTAACAGCAGTCAGTGGACGGGACGACAGCGGTGCTCGCCAGGTCGCTGCCAGCGCCAGGAATCTGAGGTGCGGAGGGTTGGAGTTGACAACAGGAAGAACCGAATCTGGCGTTGCAATTCAACATGCGAGTCGCGTGTTTGCTGGTCCTGCCGGTCAGCCAGGCAATGCGACGACAACCCTCGTTACTCATCAGCCTATCACTGCATCATCCGAGCCCAAGCTGTTCCGCGTGGTGAGACAACAATGTCAGGCCGGATCCCGAGTGCACAGGCACAGGCACCGGCAAGGAACCTGTCATGGCAAACAATGCACGCACCTCGTGGCTTACACCGCCTGTGCACCGCTGCGGGTGCTCTCTCGTCCTCTCTCGCCAACCGCCAACCGCCAACGGGTGGGTGAGTGAGGAGTGAGGGAGGGGGAGCGCACAGTGCGGCTGCCAACGACGCTCCCTCGCCAGGGCACCCATCACCCAGCGCTGAGGGCAGGCGGAGAAATGACCTCGTGGAGGGGGGTGTCGACGCAGGACGAAATGGCAGATGGGGGGGCGGGGTTGGCGACTTGGCGAGGTTCCAATGCACACAAGAGAGAAAAAAAGGGGCCAGGGGGGGTTTGTGCAAGAGACTTTGGCACGCGCTACTTCGGTGCGCCCGCAGAAGCCCAGGCGCAGAAGCCAACGAGAAGCAGAGGACCGGCCGACCAGCGCCTGGCGCTGACCCCACCGGACGGAGGTAATGCCACGTGGGTTTGAAGAAGCCACGCGCAGACTTGCGTCCGGGCAGGGGGGCCTGTCCATGAGCCCTTGGGCGGTGGGTGCTTGCTTGCGTGCGTTGTGTGGCACCGTGGTCGTAGGTGGTACATGTCCGCGATCCTTGGAACAGAGGAGGTGGTGCAGTAGAGATGAGGCTGGAAGTTGAAAATGCAAGTCAAGAACAGTGAGTAATTGGTGCCGAGTCCAGTGCTGTCATGCACTCGCTCGGCTGAAGGCGACTGTCGGGTACAGTGCAGCACGGCAGGAGCGAGCGCGCGCTTCCATTGCGGCGCGCCTTCCAGCAGACCGCCAGCCTCCAGCTGCTGGGCAGCCAGCAAGCACATGGAAGCAAGAGCGGCGGCGGCGGCGGCGGGGCAACCTGTCCACTTGTCCGCCTCTGCATATTCCCCTCCCCGCCAGGCGCCAGGCGAAACCGCTCTTTCAGGCCCGTGAATTGGTTCGACGCTGAATCGAGTACTGCAAACCGCCAATCCTTGATGACGAGACCCTTAGCTAAGATGCCAATCCAACCAACCTATGGACATGGACAAACGGGGTGACCCCGCGAGGCCCAGCTGAGGTCGCCGACAAGACGCAAGCGACATTGGTGATGACGCTCGAGGCAGGCTACGCCCCGGGATCAGACCTCGACCACTCCGCCGCCGCAGACCCATCTCGTCCCATCACATATCCATTCTTCTCATCTCACTGACGCCGTGACTCGGAGCCGCCGATCCCCTTGCCCCGCCAGTCGCGACCCTGTTGAATGAGTATGTTTGCTGCTCCCTTGCAAGCTAGCGACGACGCTCAGCACCCGCCAGCTACGTATCTCGCTGTTCCGCACGCAGGCATGGCAAGCACGTCGTACGACGCCTCATCTGTCCCTTTGCCAACCGACGTCGTCCACATCCCCCGACCCCTGCCGCGGCTCCGTTCGACGCCGCAATCCTAGTCCCAGTCCCCGTCTCCGTCGCCGTCCCCCGTCCGAGACCATGTGGCAGGATCCGAAACGGCGCGCAATTCTTCCTGCCTCGAGATTCCGCCGCCGCCGCACTGACCACGAGCTGCCTGTTTAATGTCGGCAAGCTTCCCCACCACGGCCCAGTTTCGCGGGATTCATGGCTTGACAGCGAGATGACGACACGCGAGCACTGGCCCCCGACAGCCAGCAGCTGCATCGGCGCACGTTCGTGCATTGCACTGCACTGTACGCTCCGAATCGCACGGAGTACGGAGCACAGTGCTGTAATGTACGGAACACTTGGCAAACCTGATTTCATGCGTGCGCGCGCAACGGATCCGGCCGTCCGGGTAAAGACGACAATGGAACGCCCAACGAGCCACGAGCCACGCGACATTTTGCCGGGCTCTGACCCCCTTGTTGCCACATGGCACGCATTGCCGCCCGCGCTTGAAGGGATCCCCATGGCAAGTGCCATGCCGCCGCCACCACCCAGCCTCAATTGCTCCGTCCACAGGCCGCACTGACGGACATGATCGCGCGGCACGGAAGGGCGGCAACGGCGAAGAAATTGCTCATTCTTTTCGTGCCATCCGCCACTTCGGCGGCGAACGGACAAGGCACCGCCGTCTCACGCTGACCGTGGCGCGCTCGGTGCATTACGTGTACGCATGTTTCGCGAAACGGAGCACGTTCCCCGCCGCCTTTTCTCGCCGCGACTCGATGAGATAACGGAATGAGATAAGCGCGCAGCTACTTGCCCGCGGCGCCATTGCATGACCGCGAGTGCCTGTCGTTTCGGCTTTTGTGACGAGGTTCAGCCCCCAATCCAGGATCAAGGATGTTTGTGGCGGTGGCATTTTCGGACAACTTGACCCGAACCTCGAAGCTTGACCCGCCAGCGGACGAGTAGCCGAGGGCTTGATCCTGGTCATCGGCCAAGGCTGCAGCGCATCTTGCTCGATTCTGTCATCAAGCTCTTTCGGTGTGAGAGACGTGACGAAGCCGGGCGGCGACGCAAAAGCCGCAGGCAAGGAGTGACAAGAGTCTATGCAGCTCGACTCGGGCTATTATGTATCACCTGTATAAACAACGACAGACTGGGCTTCGAAACACCTCTCAGGTGCCAGGCCGGTTTACAAGGAGCGAGCGCCCACAGCCCACTGAGCAAACACGACACCACCGACTGTCGTACGTAAAAACATCCGTGAGCAGGCTGTGCCCTGTATAGAGTATTGAACTGCCACCGAGTTGTCTCGGGCGATTTTGTTGTCCGCAATCATGTAAATGTCTCGACATGTGCCATGAAGTAAGGATTATGAGTGTTTTCCCTCAACATCTGAGAGTAGAAGAATCCTGTTACTCGCCCATGACACTTGAATGGGAATATTAAATCTCGCCGCCAACCACTTCGCGGCTTGCTCTCTGTGCCGAGTTGCTACCAAAGTCATCTCTCGCTCGCCCTCGTGCTCTCCAAGACTCTCTACGATGGACAGAATCTACATTCGACATGTTCTTCTATTTTGCTTGGGCTCCGCATGCCTCGGCTCGGCAAGTCCTACATCCGCCGACCATTACTCCTTCAGCGCCATGGCCACCATCGCCGACGTTATGAACGAGTGCTCCGGAAATTTCGAGGTACTTGGTTGGCTCACGTCGCCATCACGACGGTTCCCCCTTCCCCCCCCTCTCTCTCCCGGTGTGCGAAGTGAAGAGGAAAGCCGGCTGTATTACTGACCGGGCGCGCCGACAGTGCGATCCCATGTCCGACACGTGCCTGGCCGAATTGTACGGGGTGGAGCGGCAGCAGGACAAGTTTTACCTGAAGCGCAGTCAGTTGAGGTTGCGGTGTACGCAGGGCCGTGTAAGAAGGACTCGTCCCCCCCCAAAAACCCCCAAGTTTCTGTTCTCTCTGTCTTCCCGCTTTAACCCACAGAGTCAAGCCTGGACGATAGCAGAGGCTGACGTTGGTTGTTTCTCTTTAGTGCGGTCTTTCCGGCGATGTGGTGGAGCAGGGTACCTGCGATGTCAAGAATCTCCAGGGCCACGACCAGGAAGTGAAGTGTTTTTGATGAGGGGGGTTGTATTACCCGGACGGGATGGCGAGGACACACCGTGATCCATGAGCTACTGTGGGGATTGGGCTCATTGTTGAGCGCAAAGAGAATTGCAGGAAGCTCCCTTGCTCATTGCTACCTTGGGCTGCTCAACGTGCATCAAAGTCCTGCCATGTAGGCAGGGCTTGCCGCCTCCGCCGCCCCCGTCCTCAACTGCCGTCCGCCAAGGCTGGGCGTGATATGTGTGTGCTCGCTAGCCTAACGGACGGCAA